TGTGGGATTCACATATAAATCAAGTATAAAAATCAAACGAATATTCATATTTGACCTGATTGTTTATAGTTCATAATGCGTGATCAAAACCGAAAGTTTCTGTGATGACTGCCCTTGCACTGTTCACCATGTAAGAACTTATTCACTATGTAAGAATTTGTTCACCATGTAAGAACTTGTTCAATGTGCTTCAGAAGATTGGAGACTGATGAGAATTAGGCTTGGTGTTGATTAATGATTGTGCATTGAGTCCCCTATACAGAATTTTATTGTTGCTAACAACCATTTGATCAATAAGTATGAGAGATGCCCTCTTAAAAAAAAAATGATGTATGGATAAACATAAAATTACATGGGAAGATTTTCATTATAATGAAAAAGGAGGCTACAAATTAACATGATCCCATTTTTGGTATGTACATATATATACACAAGTACAGAAAAAAGATTAGAAGTCTATATAGAAATGTTAGGATTAACATGAGGAAGAATTTGGCATTTTATATCTGCAACCTTTTGCTCATCTAAATTTTCTATTATGAACACATACCAATCATCGAATAAGAAAAAAATTATTTAAATAATCAATTCTAAAGTTTTCTCAAGAGAATATTTTTATTTCCATTCTTCTCATCTCAAAAAATAAAACTCCGTTATTTAAATCAATCACCTTTGAAAAGACAAGGTGTTAAAATCACTGCATAAATAAGGCTTTGGCATAATGGAAAATTTATAAGTATGAAGCCAAATTGTTCAAAAACAAGGGAAAATAACTGGTTATTCACTCATGTAGTAAAAAAGGTGCAAAGTCCAGAGAGATCAAATTGTGGTTCTGCTATTAAAGTATTCCCAAGTAATCCTTAGATGGCGTCTGTAGATTCTTTACTAAAATACAGTGTCACCAGAAATTCCATTTAAGAAAGATGCAAAAGACTATGATCCAGAATAGAGTAGTAAAAATTACAGAAAAATAATATCTAACAGTTTTTAAATAAAAAAAAAGAACAAAATGTTCTGCTCATAGTACTGAATTCAAAAGCAAAGGAAGACTAATGAAACTAGGATTATTTCATCTCCGTTACTATACAAACAAAACTAGTTGAGTTCTCTTCCCAACCAACAAAAAAAACGTGATTACAGACTAAACATTTTTCAGTTTAGAGGGATTTACAATGCAAATGAAAAAGAACTTACTGTCAGTGAAGGTTACTCAAAACTACTGAGAAAGCCTTGAATTTCCCTGAAGATCTTTTAGAATACCTATTACTCGGATATGATTTAGAATAAAAAATCACCAACAGTACAAACTGGAGGTAGACAAGATGACAACCCAAGGCCCCTTTCAACCCTCTGTTCTTTTTGTCTAGGTCTGCAGAAAGTCAAAAGATATGGCATGATAGTTTACAAATTCATAAAGGAGAAAATAAACTTGCAATGAACAAAATGAAGCTGAATCAAGTAATTTTTAACTATAAAATAGTTTTTTAATATAAAAGTATTTTTAATGTTCAAGTGTTCCTGGTTTTTTTTCAAGAAAATAAAGTTCACTATAAACTGTGATTAAAAGACATTATAAAACCCAAAAGGATATTTAATATTTAAAATAAGGAAAGTACTTAGAAAATTTACCAAATATTAAAGCCAATCCATGAGATGTACCCACTGCTATCAGATTGGATACTGCCTGAGAACAAAAGAAAAAATTACATTTTAAGACATTACATCAAGCATCTCAAGATAATCAGAGCTGAATTTGTTGGTCTTTCCTCTAGGCACCAGATGACATACCAACTATTATAAATTAGGAGAATTTCATCTAGGAGGCAAAACAGGAAATGAAACTCAGGACATTTCTAGGAATCCCTCTAAACTTACTGTAAGGATAACAATATCAAAATATCATATGTTCAACATTAAAGGCAGAAACACTTAACTTCCTCTAAAACAATTTTTTTTTAAATTCAGGGATCCAGACAAAGTAAGAGGCACTCATACTACCCAGAGTCCACTTTGGGATAAAAAGCTCTTCTCCAGTATATTCACAGGAACTACAGAGCACCAGAAATATTCCAAATTTAGCCCATTTCCTCACCAATTTACTAGTAAGAGAGCTACAGGAGGCAGCTGGAAGTAGTCGAGAAAAGAAGGCACTAGTGTGCTTTCAATATCCCCCAGTTCTCCATTATCATTCCACAGATTACTACTTCACAGGCTTGGCAATGGAATTCAGGGCTGTTAAATGTACTATTTAGCAGAAAGTGATTTTACCAAATACTGCTTTCCACTCCCTATAACCAAAGGGAGGCCAAATCACAGAGGACCAACTTCATTTGGACAGGATAGTACCACATACAAATAAACCTGGAAAAGGCTAGTCATTATTCCATAATATACTTCTCAAACAAAAGCCTGAAGAGTAATAACACATTAGAAAGAAAGAGAATATTCAAGGTGGATAAGTTTTAAATCTGATTAGTGGCAGTAAATGACTTATTCATTTATTGTCACAGTAATTTATGTAAAAACTTTGAACACTAGAATGATAAGTCTAAGAAAACCCAATCAAATAGAAAGTTACCTTTAAGGGATTATTGAAAGTATACTTACAATTGCTGTAGGTAAGCCAGCATCTACTTTATCCTAAATGAAATTGAAAAAAAAAGTATTTGAAAAGATATTCCCGTTTTTAAACAGAAAATTGTCTAAGACCCTCTCTCAACATAAATTTGATCCAAATCAATTCAGACAAGAGATGGAACTTCATTTCTTGTCCCCAACTAAGAGAAACTACAGAGGTTGTCTATAGCAACAAAATATAAAGAACATGAGAAAAGATCATTTTATTTCATGAACTGTAAACACATGCTTCAAGAAAGAGAGGAAAGAGGTTACATTTTCAATAATGTGAATAAACTGTAAGTATTATGGGTCAAAATGGTAAGAGTGCATAAAGATTTTTAAAAAGGGAAACATGGTAAAGATACTCTTTAAGTAGGAGTGCCTATCCAGCAGATTATCCAGTAACTCCTAAATAAAACCCAAGCAGAGGATAGTCAGTTCTCAGGCATAAGAAAACCAAAAGTAAAGTGCTAGTCCCAGCTCCTTACAAGGTACTGTCTGACAGTAGCAAAAACACCTGCCCTTCTGGGTGTTAGTCTCCTCATCTCTTCAAGGAAATAGCAAATACTGCCTACCTACCTCACTCAGTTGTCCTCAGGATCAAATTAAATGTAAGGGTATCTAGCTTTAAATAATAAGAGCTTACAACAATTAGCACTGTAGTATCAAAGAGCTATCACATACATATATTACACTATTTGATTCTCAAATCTGGAGAGAGATAAAACAGGTAATATTCTCCTGATTTTCCAGATTAAGAAAACAGAAGTCTTTAAGAGCTGAACTGACTTGCCCAAGATTATTCAGGAAGTGGTAGAACTATGTCTCTAACTCAGGGCTTCCAGTTCCCAAGCCAGGCTCTTTATATCACTTCAACACTTCTTTTCAATGTCTGTCCTTGTCAGTGTGGTCAATTAGTTACTATAATCTATCAGAAGGCAAAGTCTATTTTATGTAACTTTATAGAGCTTCTTGGGAATTAACTGAAGAAACTTACTCCAGTGCATAGGAATGTGAGGAAGAACAATCCCCAAGGCTGCTATGCACAATGTTCTGGATGGCAGACTGTGTGTGGACATGAGTGTGTAAAGCATGCCTAACAGCATGCTTGACAATTAAGAAGCACACAATAAATATTTAGTCAATAAATGATTGATTTCTATCCCAGATAGGGAAAAAAATGAGACAGCAGATGAACAACATGAACTACATTTAAAATGGAACCTGAATAATGAAATATCAGAAGTCAGCTAATTTTAAAAGCTAAAAAAAAAACACAGATGTGGTAAGCACTTTAGAAATTATAGAATTTTAGTTCTGGTGTTGCAACATCTTAAGGTAGTGACTCTCCAAAGCCAGGGTCCATTAGAATCACCTGGGATACCTGTTAAAATGCAGATCCTTATGCTACCCTACTAGGGATTCCAATTCCACAGTTCTGGGTGGTGTCCAGGAAACTGCATTTTAACCATCACCCCAGTAGATTCTTATGCGTTGGACACATTTTGCAAAAACACTGTGCTAAGGGATCTCTATTGTCATAGGTGATCATTAAAAAATGATCTAATTTGAATTTAAAATACAGTTCCATGTCACATTACTTTGAGGAGTCCAAAATTAAACAAGATTCACAACTCCAAAACTTTCATCTCTCCTAAGTGTTCTCCATGTGTGGATAAAGTGAAGGTTTCTATGTCCAGGATTCTTACCCGGCCATGGCAGGCTAGCTCACTACACATATGTGGCAATACATTGCTAATGACTCTAGATAAAGAGCTCCACACAGTAGTCTGGGCGACAGAGTGGCATGGCCACATGGCTGCTGCAAGGCTGCAGAAGAGCAGAGACTGGAGTGGTGGCAGTGCCAAGGAGAGAGACTGAGATGGCTGCAGGGACAGAGAGGCCCAGAGGCAGAGAGTGGCTTGCTGTATGCAGACTCACTCTGAGTGGACAGGATTCTAGTGATTGCCCTGCCACCATGGGAATAAAGTTGGGTATAAACCCTTTCACCCCAAGAATGTTCCACTGTCATTTTTCAATCTTACTGAATCCATAGTGAACTTGTCTGGGGCTGAAAACCATTGGTAAGACACCATGTGTGGACTACAAAGCCCTAGTGATCAAGGCCCTTAGGCAGCCCTAATAACATCACCATCCACATGGCTGAAGGCATTATGAAACAACTGTTCAGGAGGGATATCCAAAAGTATAACTAGTTTTACATGTTAATAAACCAACCATCACAGAAAAGCATACAATTTAAATTGAGCTGGTAATACAAAATTAGGAAGCAGAGTATGAAGACTGTCACAGGAAAAGAGTTTTCATTTCAGCATACCAAAGGAGCTCAGCCATAGCAATGAAGGAAGAATAGAATGCAAACACTCTGGGATTTATTAAAATTTTCCCCTCCTCTTCAAGAGAGAGGAGAAACCCCCTTTTAAATAACAGATTTATCTAATCATGGTTCAGTGTCTGAGTTTTAGTTCAGTCTCCATTATTCAAAATATTTTTTAAACTGCACAGGTGGGTCAAATGACTGTTCTGGTTCATCTTGATTTTGAAAGGAATGAATTTCATCACCTACATAAGGATTAAATTCAAAAACGTCATGGAAATATAATCCTCAACAGGTGGTTCCCATTCTAGCAAATATAAGTTACTCTCCACCTAAAAGAGGAAGGACAATTGCCCAGGTTTCCTCCATTGCTTGACTATCTATTAATACAGAATTCATGATATATGAGCTGGCTCAGAGTATACCAACTCCCCACAGAGAACATTTTTTCTTTCTCTTTTTTTGATTCCTGTAATAAGAGCATTCTTTGACAAATGTGACAACTGCAATGCACTAATGGTGTCATGATGCCACTTCTGTATCAATCTCTTAACCTCCTGAAAAAGCCAGCTTCATCCAATTTGAATATGCAAAATCCAATTAAACTCCATGAAAAGAACATAAAAACACACCAAATGATGTATCTGTCATTATGAATTTGTCATTATTATTATTTACAGGATCTACATATTGAATTCAGAAAATTTAGATTGAAAGACTACATAAAATTATAGGCTTAAAGATTTAAGGAAAATTTGATAAAACACTCCATAATCAGCATCCACTGTCTTGACAGACTATTAAATATTTTTGCCTTAACCTAGTGCTCTAAATCATTTTCAAAAACGATCACAAATATTCTCTTCCAGCCATTATACACTGGCCACATTCACCAGCTCCGTTTCACTACACTTAGAGCCAGAAACCCCAATTTTGAGTAATTGCTCTGCTATCTCCTAACCCAATGATGTAATCACCTCTCTGAGCCTGACTTCTCATTTGTAAAATAGGATATGGCTTTCTCTACTTACAAAGTTGTAAGCATAAATGAATTAAGGAATATGAAAAGACTTCTGTGAATTATAAAAAACAAATCACTCAGCTGTAAAGGATTCGGATCAATCATTTCTTCATATGAAAAGACTAAAAAAACAAGGACTCTACCTCAACCAAATACACAAGATGGCAACTAAACTGAAAAGGAATTTAAGAAAAGGCAGATAATGTTTCTTTTAGGCTTGCTTCCAAATTTCATTTAGGCACACCCAAGACACCGAGTAGACCTCTATTTCATGGCTGCACTAATTTCTATGTCAAGATGTGTAGCCATGTCTTGTAAGTCAAAAATAATCACACAAAAACCCATGAAAGCCAGATTCTATTTTTCTTAAGCCTCGGGCCAAGAGAAGTACTGTGCTTTGTTCTATGCTCATTTCTACTATATTATGCCATTGGAGGTTATAAAGCCAAGGGAAGAGAACAAAGTACTTACAGCTGCAGACACTATCTGGGCAGAAATTCCCTTCAAAAGTGAATGTCGCATAACTGATCCATGGAGTGAAAAAGAATCAGGTAATTTCTTCTTCCTGAAAAAGAAGGAAAATATTTAGTGAAAGAAAAAAAAATGGAAAAGTCAGGTCTCAAAGCTTTGAAATAAAAATACATAAAAGAAAAGCTACATAAAAGAAATACTACAACACTGTATGTAGTTCTACAAGAGGTAAAAGGAGTCTAACAGTACCACATTAAGATGTACTAAACCCACCAAACCTCAGAAAGCAAGCCTCAAAATAAAGCCATTACTCCTTTTTCATGGATTCAAACTGCTTCTTGCCCACCTAATATAGCAAGAGGTTCTGCAACTCACCAGAGGTTGCCTGTAGAGCACTCCTTCCTGCCCTACACGCCCACATTACCCCTACCTGCTATCCACCCTTGCCCACTCTTCTTGCCCTCCTCCTCTCTATAACCACCCTCCCACTCTTCAACCAAACACCTCAAATTCCCCACTCATTACTCATTCTCTGCTGCTTTTACTAACAGCTCCTTTCACTTACCCTATTCATCTCTTACCAAAAATGTCTCTTCTTTTACCAAATACTGAACATCTACTCTGCGACTAAAAGTATCCTCTGGAAATACAAAAATAAAGTCAAAGTTCCTACTCTCAAGGACCTCATAGCCTAAATAGAAGGACTAATAAGTAACTCACCTTAAAGGATAAATGTCAGAAAATAAAAATGAACAAAGTACTATAGAAGTGAAATAAAGAACTTTAATCCTATTAGGGGGTTATCAGGGACATGAAAAAAACAAGGCATCTCATCTGGCCTCGCTGGATAACTAGATGTTTGTCAGGCAACAAAAAAAGCACGAGTAGAAATATGAAGATGTAAAGGCACACAGTGTATGTGGGGAATGTGAGTATGCAAAAGGCATAGACCAGGAAGACAGGAGTGGAAGTGTTTAGAGGTTAGGTCAAAATGGTAAGCAGGGTCCAGACTGATGCTATATTATTATGTAGGCAAAAAGAAAACACTATATTTTTTAAGAAGGTAGTGACCAGACCATCAAAAACATTTCAGTAATTTTGGTTCCCCACAAATTTCATGATTGTTTTTTCTGTATCTGTCAAAAATGCCATTGGGATTTTGATAGGGATTGCAATGAATCTATCAATGGCTTTGGGTAGTATGGATATTTGAACAATATTAATCCACAAACTTGGGACATCTTTCCATTTGTGTCTTCTTCAGTCACTTTCATCAATGTCTTATGAATTTCAGTATGTGGCTCTTTTGCTTTTTCCTAAGTATTTTATTGTTTTCGATGCTACTGAAAATGGGATTGTTTTATTACTTTTTCAGATGTTTCATTGTTAGTGTGTAGAAATGCAACTGACCCCAATGAGTCAAAACAATCAAACAAGAACAAAATTCGAGGCATAATACTTCCTGATTTCAAACTATATTACAAAGCTATAGTAATCAAATCAGTATGGTACTGGCATAAAAATAAACACACAGGCCAATGGAAAAGAACTGAAAGTCCAGAAATAAACACTTGCATATATGGTCAACTAATACTTGGCAAAGGAACCAAGAATACTCAATGGGGAAAGAATACCCTCTCCAAGGAATGGAGCTGGGAAACTGAATAATCACATTTATAAGTATGAAATTGTGCCCCTATCTCACACCACTCACAAAAATTAAACAGTTAAATGGATTCAAGGCTTAAACATAAGACCTGAAACCATAAAACTCCTAGCAGAAAAACACAGGGGAAAAGTTCCTTGACATTGTCTTGGCAACAGTTTTTTACATGACACCAAAAGCAAATGTAAATAAATGCGACTGAATCAAACTAAAAAGCTTCTACAGAGCAAAAGGAAAAACAAAACAAAAAGGCAGCCTACAAAATAGAAAACATTTGCAAACCATCTGTCTGATAAGGGGTTAATATCTCAAATATACAGTAATCCTCTTATCCATCCTTCCATTTCCCAGGATTTTAGTACCCATGGTCAAGCATGGTCTGGAAGCAGATAATCTTCCTGACATATCATCAGAAGGTTAATAGTAGCCTAATGCTACATCACAATGCTTACATCATTCACCTCACTTCATCTAATCACTTAGACATTTTGTCATCTCATATCATAAGAAGGGTGAGTACAGTACAATAAGATATTTTGAGAGAGAGAGACCAGTTTTACATAACTTTTATCACAGTATATTGTTATAATTATTCTATTTTATTAATAATTGTTGTTAATATCTTGCTGTGCCTAATTTATAAATAAAATTTTATCATAATATGTATAGGAACACACATAGTGTGTGTAAGGCTCAGTGCTATCCACAGATTCAGGCATCCCCTGGGGGGGTCTTAGAAGATACACTTTACAGATAAGAGAGAACTACTGTATAAGGAACTCTTACAACTCAATAGCCAAAAAACAATCTGAGTAAAAACTGGGCAGAGGACCTGAATACATGTTTTTCTAAAGAAGATGTACAAACAAACAACAGGTACATGAAAAGATGTTCAACATCACTAATCACTAGAGATTCTTAATGCAAATCAAAACCACAATGAGATATCACCTCATACTGTTAGGGTTACTATTATCAAAAAAAACCAAGATACAAGTGCTGGTGAAGATATAGAGAAAAGGGAATCCTTGTAACTGTTGGTGGGAATGTAAATTGGTACATCCACTATGAAAAACAGTATGGAGTTTCCTCAAAAAATTAAAAACTGAACTACCACATGAGCTAGCAAACCCACTTCTGTGTATATATCCAAAGAAAATGAAATCAGGATCTCAAAGAAATATCTGCACTCCAGTGTTCATTGCAGCATTATCACAATAGCCAAGATTATGGAAACAACCCAAGAAGAATGAATAAAGGTGTGGTATTTATGTGTATACAGAATATTATTCCGCCATGAGAAAGAAGGAAATCCTGCCTTTGCAACATGGATGGCCCTTAAATTTAGGGCATTATATTACATGAAATAGATCAGACAGTAAAGGATAAATATTGTGTGATCTCACTTGTATACAGAATCTAAAAAAGCCAAACTCATGGAAACAGAGGGTAGAACAGTAGCTGCCAGAGTGGGGAAAATGCAGAGATGTTGGTCAAAGGATACAAACATCCAGTTATAAGATAAGTACATGAGATCTAATGTGCAGTATGGTGACTATAGCTAACAGCAATATATTACATACTAGAAAGGTGCTAAGAGAGATTTTAAATGTTCTCACCACCAAAAGAAATGGTAATTATGTGAAGTGACAGAGGTGTTAACTTGATCCTATTGTGGCAATCATATGCCTGTAAAAGAATCACACTGCATGATTCTGTAACATCTTCCTATGTTGACAGATAGTAAATGCACTAGTGGGGGTGAAGGTTTAATAATATGGGTAACTTTTGAACCACTGTGTTGTATACTTGAAACCAATATAAGATTATATATCAACAATACTTCAGTAAAAAAAGAATCACATTGTATATCAAATCTACACAGTGTATATCTCAATAAAGCTGAAAAAATTATCTGTTTTTATCTAATTAAGTAGTTATCTACTTTTGATGAACAGGTTAATATGACCAGCATGGCCCACTATCCCGTAAGAGTTGATGCACTGAAGAAGACTACTGATACAGGCAAAATTTAAGAAAAGAAAAATACAGACTTTATCAACATTCGATATACACATGAATTTAATAAAGCATTTTACATGCTTCTTTCATTTCTCTTTCCTTTTCATGTGCTCTCCAAGAATTTGGAAGGTGAAAAACAGCCAAAATGAAGTTAGTTAGGGTTAGAAGTCCTTTTCCCAAATCTTTAATCATCTTTGTGATTCTCCTTTGAATTCACTCCAAGGGAATGAAGGAATGCTGGAGCTGACATTAGAGTGGGAAGAAGGGAGTGGGGAGTGCAGGGAACAGAAGGTGGGGAGGTAAACCAAGCCCCATGTTTCCACCACACACTCCATGCCAGGTTTGATCTGTGTTCCCTCCAAGGGCTCTCCTGCTCCCAGGAATCTCTGGCTGTTATTATGGCTTCCTACTGGGGGTGCAGAAGGCAGTGGTCATGGCATCTACCTTTTTATCCTCTCCCACCAACAGTGCCAAAATCTGTAGGGTCTAAAAAAAATATTGCTTCTACCCAAGTGGGCCTCTGTTTCTTCTGCAGGGCTTCAGCAGACCATACTGTACCTAAAGAAAGATATTTACATTTTAAATGATCAAATACTTCAACCATATACAAGTGTGACTTAGATGAACACTTACCTTTTTAAGTTGGTCCTGTCACCACTATCTGAACTTGCCACAGATGACGTATCATAGGAGTGAGAGTCAAGAGCATCAATGTTTAACAATGTAGGGTCCTCCAGAACAGAAGACTCATCTTCATCATCAGTCTAAATTGGAACAATATGGATCAATAAACTAAAAATTCCAAATACTCTGTAAGTCTAATAGGCCTTAATGGGTTTCTCCAAAACACTCACATGCTTATTTCTGCTTTTTACCTCTTTTCCATGCACTGTTATTGACCAGAGAGGCATAGTACAGAACGAGTAAAAAGGTGAGTGCAAAGCCCAGGAAAGAGAGGAGAGCCCAACTCTAGACAGATATTGCTTTCTATGAAGGCAGATATGCTCTTTCAGTCCAAAAATTCATTCTTACAGCAGGAAGAAGCAATAGCAGTTACATAGATCATTGCTAGCTGCAGAATATTTCTTAAAATTTAAACTTGAATGCATGCTTTACTAGTTAACAAGAGCTGAGGGCTAATTAGAAGAAAACAACACTTGACTACAATACACCATGAAAAATATGACAAGCAGACAGAAGAAAGGCATTCTGGGATGGAAATAGCATCTGCAAACAGTGAATTCGTAATGTAGATTTTGCCCATGGAAAAGTAGTCCAGAATGACTAGAGTATATGAGCAGACGTTGGAGGTGAACCTAGAAAGATAAGCTGGGACTCAACTTGTAAAAAGTCTTATATTCTATTAAGCTGGGTGACAGCAAAGACCCATATCTCTCTTGTCCACACTGTACCCCTAGTGCCCAGTACAATGCCTGACACACAATCAGTACTCATTTATTTAATGAATTAATGGGAAAGCAACTGAGCAAGCAATGGGAAGCAACTGAGATTTTTAAGATGTGGACACCCATGATGGGAACACAGCAGTATGAAGATGGATAAGGGGAGAGAGGAGAACAAGGCAGGGAGGCTATTAAGAACCAGTAAAAAGGTGAGTGCAATGTCCAGGAAAGAGAGGAGAGCCCAGACTAGAAATGCAGCAGAAGACATCAAGAGAAGGAATAATGAAACAGACCTTACTGAGATAAAATCCAAATTCCCTGGTTACCTTTTAAATGGGGGTGGGGTGGAGGGAGGTAAGGGAGAAGTCAGATTTCAAAGTTTCCAGCGTGAGCAAGTAGGCAAAAGGTGATGCTGCTGAGACAAGAAAGCAGAAGAATAGATAAAGCAGAATGAGTTCAGCCTTGAACAAGTTGGTTCTGAGCAACAGACATTAATGAAAAATGTTCTGATAATACTTTCTACCTTCTGCCTTAACCTTTGCCACCATTGTTCTTGAGAGAGCAGTGCATACTTGTCATTCCACTTTCCCCACCCATTACTAGCTGCTGACTACTACCCTTGCTGAAGTTACCAGCCAAATTCCCGGGTTTACTTCCAGATAGGATACTCGTGTCCTCTGTGCACCACTTAACGTTAGTGGCCACTCCCTACTTCTGGAAACTTTCTCTTCCCTCAGTTTACAACACCTCTCTTTCTCTGGTACTCCTCCAACTTGTGTGGTCTCTTCTGTCAGTCATGTTCTATTTTTAACTTAGACCAAACTCTAAATGATGTTGTTCCCCAGGATTATACTCTTAGCTCTCTTCTCTCCCTACTTCACACACTTTCTATATTAACAATTTGATCCATATCTATAGCTTCAAGTACCATGTCATACTAACGACTCCAAAATCTGTATCTTCAGAATCAACATTTCTCTTGAGGTTTAGGCCCGTACTTCCAATTGCTTTAAAGACAGCTCCACATACAACTCCACTAAGAACAGGGCGAGGGGATAGCAAGGACATCATCTGTTACTTGCAAGCTATATGAGAGTGGAACAACTACTGCAGGGAATGGAAAAGAATTCAGAAATTAGAACTGCAGCACCAAAGTCTTATTAAGCAAGAGAGTCAAAGAGAATCTTATCTGATTTTCTTAAGCAGCCTGGGGACATATTTAAAGAAAACAGATAAGCTAAATTAAGCCAGGGCTGAAAGCTTTCTTTCATTTATGAAAGAAAAAGTGAAAGAAGAAAATTGAGAGTTATCAATAAGGCTGAATTCAAAATTAGTAACTATACAGTAGAGATATCAATTCTCCCAAACTGATATGTAAAGTCTACATAATCAAATTGTGTGTGTGTAAACTAATAAAATGATTCTAAAACTGATGAGGAAGAGCAAAAGACCAAGAATAAGAAAGGCAGTCTTGAAGAACAACAACAAAGCTAGAAAATTTGAAATTGCTAGATATCAAGACCTATTATAAAGGTTCAAACATTGAAATGTGATATTGGGACAAGTATAGAAATACCAAGGGAATCAGACCCACACATATATGATCACTCAATTTAAAACAAAAGTAACACCACAGAAAAAAATACTTTTGTAAATGGTGCTGGCTCATACCTCACACCATCACACAAAAAAATTCCAGATGAACTGCAGACCTAAATGTGAAAGGTAGAATAAAAATTTTTAAACAAAGAGCATCTCATGACCTTGAAATTTGCAAAATTTTCTTAAATAGGACAAACAAAAAACTATAATGGAAAAACTTAATAAACTGAACTATAGTAAGATTTCTGCTCATCAAAAAAAATTAATAGAGTGGAAAAGTATCCCACAGAATGCAAGAAGATACTTGCAATACATATATTTAATGAAGGGCTTATAACCATCACATTAAAAAACTCATAAAAATTAGTTTTTTAAGAAATTCAATAGCAAAGTGGACAAAAGACATGAAAGAACAATTCACAAAAGACATACTCAAATGACCAAAACATATGACAAGGTAGGCAATTCCATTGGTCTTAGGGGAAATTCAGATTAAATCTATGCTGTAAGAATGAATAGCTAAAGTGAAGGAGAAATTGAAAGTTGATGAAGATGGGTACCCAGAACTTCCACATATTGCTGCTGGAAGTATATATATTATTCCAATCACTTTGAAAAATCTGTGGCAGCATCTATTAAAGCTGATCATACTGACATCTGAAAACCAGCCATTCTATTCCTTGGTATATACCCAACAGAATATGTATGTGTATATATCTAAACATGAATAAGAATATTCACAGCAGCACTTAGCAGTGCATAGTAGCCAAAAATTGGAAATTACACAAATGCCCATAAGGAAAATGAGTGAATAATGGTATATACATGAAGAATTTATATAACAATGGCAATCAATAAACAATTATATGCAAAATATGAATGAATCCAAAAACATAACACTGAGCAAAATAAGTCAGACACAAAAAAGCGCATACTATATAATTCCATTTATATAAAGTTCAAAACAGACAAGCTAATCAGTGTTGGTAGAAGTTAGGAATAGTGATTATCTTGGGGTTTGCTACTGAATGGGCACAAGAAAAGTTTCTAGAGTGGTAGTAATGTTTTGTATCTTCTTTATATTTGGATTCTGGTTATAAGGCATATCCGGTTGGTGAAAATTCACCAAGCTGTACACTTAGGATCTGTACACTTCTATATGTATGTTATACATCAATTACAAGTTTAAAAGAAATTTCAGGCTGCACAGTCCAACAGTAGCATTGAACTGAGCCAACTTTACTCTCAGAGACTCAGAGATGAGAAAGGATCAAGAGACAGTCTGGATGAGTTCAAAGAGCATGTTTAATGGAAATAAGGGAATGGTCAGGGGAGAAAGGGGTGTTATGGTTAAAGAATGGAGTTTCAAAATTAAAAGCCTCAGAGGCAGTACAGTTGTAGAAGATGACAAGGCCTAGTAACATTATTTCATGTCCTAAATTCTGAGATTTACAATGTCTCAGTAATCTCTAACTTAACCTTCTGTAAAATATCTTGGATGTCCATTTCTTCTCAGCTTCTCTTCAGGTTTATATTAATTAATATTATAGAATATATATGCACCCACATATCCTGGAGCAAGTGCTTACTTACACTTTCTACTTCTGCCCTTTTGTTTTTTTCTTTTAAAAAATGATTTTCTTTAATACTTCTTCCCCCTTATTATCTTTATTATGTTATATGACTCAGATTATTTTTACTTTCACTTATCCACCTGCCTAGCTCCTGGAGACACAAAGGCTGACCAATTTCAGTTCCATTTCTCTCTCAAAGTCGGAGACCATCATATAGCCCTTTATAATCCCAATATCTAACACTATGACCCAAATAACAAGACATTCAAACTACTACTGGGAATGATAACAGTATTATCTTCTAAGGAAACCACTAATGACTGTACTTATTATTACTCACAGATAAGTAAATTGTGCAAAGATGGTTGTCCTTCATTATGAACTACATATAGTCTTGCTCATATGAGCATTTTCTTTGCCATTATTATACAGATAGGGCTTTCTACAGCTCTCCAAGACTATTTTTATTTCACTAGAGTAAAATAACTGGATGTGAGTAAGACCACATTAACAAAATTGACTAAAATTAATCTCTTTATTTTAAATAAAAGATATATTTTATGTTAGAAAGCAATAAATAAATATCACTGTAGCAGGATATTTTTTCATTGACCAAAGCCTTCTTTGTCAAAATTTAAAATGTTTAAGTCTTAACAGATCAGAACATTTTTTTAAGTTAAAATATATTCAAAGTAACAGCAACATCAAACTGATATAAAAAATAGAAATGAGGGCGGAGCCAGGATGGCGGCATGAGTAGAGCAGTGGAAATCTCCTCCCAAAAACACATAGAGCTATGAAAATATAACAAAGAAAAATCTTCCTAAAATAGAGACCACAGGACACAGGACAACATCCAGACCACATCCACACCTGCAAGAACCCAGCGCCTTGTGAAGGGGGTAAGATACAAGCCCCGGCCCAGCGGGACCCGAGCGCCCCTCCCCCCAGCTCCCGGCGGGTGGAGAGAAACCGGAGCAGTTTTTTTTTTTTGGCGAGCGCTTTTTGGAAGCCTTAGAGGGACGGGCCCCCGTTGCTGGGGAGGCAGGGTGGCGGGACCGGTGAGGAGGTGCCTGGGAACGGCGCCGGAGGACAAAGAATATCCCGCGTTTCTCCCTGCGAGACCTGGGGGCGGGTGCCTGAGACCGGTGCCTGAGGACGGAGGAGGTCGCGCGTTTTTCCCCT